TTCTCTCGGGAAGGACACGGGGATTCCCAGAGGATTTTTTTTGGCACTAGCTGATGTCGGGTCAGAAAACTAATCAAAAAGCTATGAAAACTTTGTGTATAAGGTAACAAATTGGAAAGATTTTAAAGAGAATATAGAACGGAGTGTGATATAAGGTTGTGTTGAAAAAATAAGTCCGTAAAATCACTCACTCAAGATTTGAGTGAATTTATTTGTAAACTATAATTAGATATAATGCAGCATTATTTTTGTTTTATAAATATACATTTTATAACCAGGATTTAGTAAAAGGAATAATTTATTAATAATAAAATTCCTTAACCAACTTTTTACAAGAAGGTTAACACAAATTTCTCAAATTAAACATAGAATTAGGGACTTTTTAAAACCATTTTCTTCTCCTTTAAAATACATTAAAGAAGTGCTAATAAAATCTACCCTTTTTCATATTAAAAATATATATAAAACATAGTATATTCATCATTCTGATTTGTCATATCTTCCTTCTACCTTAAATTAATTACAATAAATCTTTTCACATTTTCCAGCCACTTCCTTTAAGTTTTTTTTTTTAATATCATTTTTCCAGTTCTGCACATTACAGCCAACTGTCATTGCAATTGTGCATACAAGTACACATAATTAATTAAGGACCCTGACACATACCGCCCCCAGCAACATCCTTGCCCCACACACACACTCATACCCCCTCTTGCCATTGTCCTTTTCTTCGCGAAGTCATCATCATTCTTTTCCCCTCCAACCCTGTGCTAACTGAAATGTCAAAAATGCAAGTGACAAGTGTGAAAAAAGGACGAGCTGAAGAAAACAAAAGCGGACACACATGGCCAAAGGATGGGCGAGCTTTTCCTTTCCTTTTTCGCTCTGGGAAAAGGGGCATCAATTTTCTGAGGGGATGTAAGACCCATTGTCTGCTTGAAGACGCTGCGCGTTCGTGCAAAGCTGAATAAATTGAAATTTTAAAATGTATGAAATTAATTTTTGGCGTCATCGTCCCTTTTTTGGTGACTGGGCTAAAAAGTTCACTCCGACGCCTCACAACGATGATATCACATGACACACACCCGCACACACACACACACACCCATATGCAAAAAGGACGTGGGTCCTGGGCCTGACACTTGCCAACACACTTTGTCAAGTTTTTAGTATGTTGTCAGCATTTCCCACCCCTTCAACAAGGACTCTCGGTTTTTTGTCTTATCCCTTTTAAGCCATTTGTCAAACACTTGGCATGACGTCATGTGTGTGCGTGTGGAGTTTTTCGCAGATTTTCCTAGGATATTTACAGCTACGATTTGGGAGGTAAACTGCCTGGGTCGTGTTGCAACAAAATTTACATATAGATTAGCAACAGGACGATGAGACAGAGACACGAATGGACACTTGATGTGAGCCTTGAATGCACTCTGTTTGGTCCTTTCGAGGACGATGATGGGGCCTATGATGAGGATGAGAATGGAGATCATGATTATGTCTGCAATGCATAAGTGGAAATCATTAAGTGGCCCGGCCACATCTTGTAAACCGGTGCGTAATCCTGCAGAGCCAACAAAACGTTAGCAAACACTTGCAGAAAAATATAAAGAATTTTAAGGAAAGTGAAGAAAAATATGGAAATTATATTAAACGGAGAAATAAAAAGGGTTTACTATTAAGAAATGTGTTTACTAAATCAAAATTAATTAAATTACAATGTTGAATGTTTATTGTTATTAAAAAAACAGATCATATTCAAAGATAATCATCTTGAAAACTCATCTGTACTAATTAAATAATACCTGGACTTATTAAATATTAAAAAATATAACCTTATTTAATGTTATTTTTTAAAATCCCTTTGTTTTTCCCCAAGTGCATGGTCAATTGTTTACAGAACTGAACTCGCAGCTCGGCATTGTTGCCATTTCCGTTCACTTCTCTCCATGGAGCCCATTGTCCATAGTCCTGGAAATCCCCTGACAACACTTTTGGCCCTTTCACATTGTGCAAAAAAGAAAATTTCTGCGAACAATCCTTGAACAATGCATGAAATAATTGCACAGACCGTAGGACGGTTGTGGAGTGTTGCAAAAGGAGAGTAGGTCCTTACAGAGAGGACATAATGATGGGCTGCTGGATATTGGCCGATGATGGGCATTAAAACGCGTATGATGAGGCTTAAGTAGTCACACACACACACACACAGAGTCCTGGAAAAGGACTCGTTGGGGGTTTAAGTGATGCTAACATATTGTCCATACGTGCACTAGAGTCTAGGGGAGAGTTTCCTCCGAGAGTTGATATTTCTTGGCAGTGATTACTGTGATTACATATTGCAAAATGAAAATCTGTTGCGGAAAATATAAATAATGTTGCCGAGGGAAAAATAAGAGTGATTCACGGCCAATGGACAAGGTGAATGCGGAATTAATTTATTAGCATCTGTCATGATATTCTCTAGGGGAAAATCTATAGCGAGTTAGTAAAGATGAATGCTTTAAGAAAACATTAATAAGCTTGTATAATAACCACACTTAATTAGTGATAATTGAGCTTGGAATTTAACCCAAAAACCTATAAATAAATTCCACAATCTAACATTTAAAGACTTTCTGTCTCATTAGCTACCAATCTCTATATCCTAACTTTAAAGCATCACACGCACAGTCCCTCCCAGTTGGGCAAATCGATATCCTGCGGCCTTGAGCTTGACATTTATATATACACACACACACACAAAAAGGGACACAAAAAAGAGCACGTGCTGTCGACTGTGTCAAGGGGAGCACACCCAAGGGCCACCCACAATTTCTTTAGAGGAGCCGCTCGAGCTTTCTAAAACGAGTCTCAAGGTCGCACGCACAAAACGGGAGAGAGTCGAAAAACTGGATGTGTGGGAGGAAAAGCCGGCCGGCATGACCTTGGAATTGAGCGAGGAAAAAGCTGTTGCCGGTAGGAGACACCAAATGGCAGCCCCCTTGGCCTTGGCAGTGGCCTTGAAACTTTGTTAGGAGCTGTTCTCCCCCAGCAAAAGTGTAAGATTTGCTGGGGGGAAAGGAAATAAGCTCAATTGGCATTCTCATTCTTGCACCCCGGGAATCTTTTTCTAAAATGTTAAAATGTTGCCACTTTACTGACATTTATTGAGAATGGAAGTCAAGGGAGTAGAGGAAAAAAAAGGGGTTAGAATAATTCTGTAGTATAATTAATTATACATAAATATAAAGGAAGTACTAATTTAGGATTTTTATAAGAGAAGTACATATGTTCATAAGATTAACAATTAATATTTATATATTTAAAGACCAGTCTTAAATTTAAGATTTCACTTATCTATTTTAATGAAGGATTCCCTAAATCTAAGTTTAAGGTTTGATTATTCCTATTCCTAACTCTTATTAACAATTGTTATTACTAAAAGAGTAGTTCCTTGTTTATTATTTCACAGAATAGACTTTTCTAGCATACGTTTTCTTAAATCCCCTTTTATTAAGGTTCCTAATTTGCCCCGCCACTGTTTCCTTTTGGCTTTGCAACTATCCAGGAACAGCTTATCATAATGGATGAGCTCCAGTTTCCATAGAAAAAGATGGGGGAGCTTGGTAACGCACAATCAAACACACTTTCCAAGGTTAAAATTGTCGTCAGCAGAAAATGTTTGCAGGAATGGAGCTGGAACTAGATTTTACTTGAAGGTCAAGCCATTTGGGGTCCTTGGGGGTGGTCAAGTTTAAGGTTGCCAATGGGGGGAACATATTCAAGGACCATATTGCAAGGATTCCAAGTTTAAGGATTGGCTTTCGAGTTGAAGGAGGTTTATTAAGAAAGCAGGTTAGTGGTTGAAGGAGAGTCTTACTTAGACTGAAGGAGGGTCTAAGTTGAAGGAGATTTATACATAAATTGATTTCCGGATTATACATGTTCTTAGGGTTTTTGTACCTAAATTTGTACAGAAGCTTTAAGTAATTTTTACTTATTGAAAAATAATACGGTATTCGTAATAATACAAATATTATAAATTAATTTTTTCTATACTTTCTTAACCAAATAAATCCCTTTTAACCCTTTTTCCATAAAAACCTAGAACAAAACCCCAACAAACAATTGTTGATTCATGCTTCCCAAGAACTCACAACTAAATATACCCAAAATTAAATTCGAATTTCGAAACATACAACAATTTCCCCTTCATAGAACAAAACACAGTTCTTTTTAAGTGAAGCCAGGCTAAACCCCTCAAATTCGAAATGAGTTCGAAAACACCCCTCAAAAGACCAACTTCCAGAGAGCTTACGTCGAATTTGACGTAAGGCAGCTACTTAGAGTGTATTTTCCCCAATTTCTCACACATTTTCCGACTCTCTTGTACTCTCTCTCGCATTTCCCTCCCCCCTTGTAGAGTGAATCCTGGTAGTAAAGGTAACAAAGGCGCTTCCTTTTGGGGTGGCAACTGGTGGCTAGGGTGGCAGAGACTTGGCACTCGGTTCGCGGTGGTGTGAGGTCCTGTGGTTGGTGGTTCAATTGGTTGGTTGTTGGCATAAACAAAGCACACACACACAGACACACACACCACCTCTTTGGGGGGTGGTGGCAATAATGGGGAGGGTGGCAAGAGAGCACAATTTGCTTCCTACAGGAAACCAAACACACAGAGAGAGCGAGAGTGCGCTCAATTTTATAAATGTGACAGCGGCAAGGATATCGGTAGTCAGTCCACGCCGAAACCTCGAACAGAGAACATTGAATAATAAGCGGAAACGAAAAGCGCACAGCTAGAAAAGTTCGTCAAATGCGACAAGTTTTCCTCATACGTTTTTCCCGCCAAATGAGTCAGAAAAAATAACCAAGTGCTTGAAACGAAAAGAAAAGACTTACAAAATAAAAGCAAAGTGCAAGCTAAAAACAATTTATGAACAAATATATTACAAATACAAGAAATATATTTTGTTTAACATCAAAGAAAGTCATTGTAATTTTGCATAAAATAAAATATTACAATGGCCATTGCATACTTCATACCCGACCAGGCCCAATTATTGGCCCGAAGCTATCAGCAAAATGCCCAACAGGCAACAACCACCAGCCAAAGGACATCATCTGCAACATCTACACAACAGCCAGGACAACAGGCGCAACCTTCACAGGAGCAACCTGCACAGCAACATCAACGACAGTCCCAACATCGTCCTCAATTCCGAGCCAACATATCGGTACCCCTGGGCAGGCAACAAGGATCCATGACCATGTCAGAGTTCGGATGCTGGGATCTTCTGGCTCAAATCTTCTGCTATGCTCTAAGGATCTACAGTTACAATTCCAGCCAGCGACGACCGACGGTCATACAAATATCCTTCGAAATCAGCGGCGGCAGTCTAGATCAGGACTCTGATGACGATGTAACCGATGCCACCGCCTCCAAGGATAACTAGATTTCGTTCACCAATTTTTCACCTGGGTGGCGAGAGAGAGAGAAGGAAACCCAATGGGTTTCCTCTCTGGGAAAAGGCAGGCTCAATCAAAGCGCATTGTGATTTCTTTTTTGGGTATGGACACACGAGGAGGGAAGAGTTTTTGTAATAAAAGAAAATGGATATTTCCAACACAAAATAAGAAAAAATATTTTTAAACTATTTTTGAGAGACATTGAGAGAGAGAGAGGCAGTGGGAAAATTCAAAATTTGTCATCGATTTGCTGAAAGTGATATTGACTGTTGGTTACTTATTTCGATGCCGTTTTTCAGTTCCAAGAAAACGATTTAATTTTTTGGCAAGCAAACACAAGCAAAGGTTTCCCGGTTGGTTCAAAATTAATTTCGAAGGGCAGAAACAAGAAAAGAAAATATATGTAAAATTATCATAAACCTAATCAGTGTCTATACATATGGGTAAAACCACCAGAAAATGTATTAAGCTAAAAACAAAAACTAATTGTCAAATTTTTGCATTTCAACTACTTAAATATATATAGAGTTCTAACTAAATAAATCCAAGCTACCATACAGAACCAACAAATCAAGAACAACAAAAGACAACAACTCAATTGTACAAAATAGTTTCTAAGCAGACAGTAAATTTTATATGTTTACAAAAAATATGCAAAACAGAAATACAAAATATACAAATGTCAATAATCTAACTACAAAAAAAAAGCAAAATACAAAGAACCGCCGAACCGAAAAAATAAAAATAAAAACTGAGAGAGCCACAAATATAAAAACCAAAACAAAACAAAACATTTAAGCAATTTTGATACAATTAACGAAAAAAATTAAAAAGGCCGAATGTATTTTACAATTATTATTGATTTTAGCAAAATTCAAAATATATTATTTCCCTTTTTGGCATTGAAAATTAAACAAAACAAATTATATATATTTAAATTAATCAAATGTAAAGAGTTAGCATTTGTAAGCAATGAAAAATTTTATAAGACAAGTAAGCGACAAAAAATAAATACAATTTTATAAAAACAAATACAAAATACTTTATATGACTTTTTATTTTTGGTATTTTATTTTTCACAGGTTTTTAAATAGGATTTTCTTGGAACAACAGCTTACTGAATTCCAATTATTTAATTTTTTGGTAATAGAAAATCGTTTGTTTTAACGTTTATAATATATTCTTTACTAACGAAAACAATCGTTAATGGTATTTATAGCTTTTTGTGCCTTTTATACTTTTTAAAATATGGTCACATATTTTATATTGAATATAATTTTGTAAATGATCTATATTTACCCAAAAGAATAAGAATTTCTTACTGAATCCTTTGAAAGTCTACCACTATATCTATAAACCCCTTAACTCCTTCATCCTTACTTAACCCTTTTGAGTAAAGGACAACCCATTCACAGCCAGGAAGAGAAGGAGGAAATAGACATTAGGTGATCCTTATCGTGAAAACCAATATGTCACCTTGAAAGGGAAAAACAGTTTTTGGTTAAACGCAGTCAGAAAGGGGCTGTGAATTTTCCCGTCGTGTCATGCCGGGCACACTCCGCAGCGAAAGGGTTAAAACCCAAAAGGTTATGCCTAACCGCAGATCTCAGCCTTTGCCAAGTCACCGGGGTCAAAAGTGAAGGGGGTGTACCCTTTTTTTAACGCACCCAAGAACCCATTTAACCCCAGAAACAAGGCGAAAAAAAAGTGTAACATCTGTGACTGCCAGCGATCAACGGCGCCTGATAGCAAATAATAATTATGCAAACATTTCGGGCCGCTAATTTGCCGCCTATCTTAATTTAAATCGCTGAAAAAAGCGCACTGGAACCAGCGAACAAAAAATTGTTTAATTGACGTGACATGACAATAAGTGACCTGGAAATTAGGGTCCTTTTGCTTTGTATCCTTTTTTTCGCGTGTGTTTTTTGTGTGGCTTGATTTTTTGGCGATGATAAGCGAGGGGAAAATTATAGGGTATGCAAATGTTGTCATATATGGTGTTGGTCGCGTGTCCTGGATCAAATTTAAGTTTTTTAACTTGCTGGTATTCAGTTTTAGCGCCTGCAATTAAACTTGTAGGGGGAAACAGTTTATGATAACATATTTGAAGTTAATTTAGTTAATTTAGTGGCACATATGTTAATCGGTTAGATTAATTGGAAATGTGGCAGGTAGGTTTACACAAAAAAATACTACGAAAGGAACATTATGATATATTTTTCTAGTACAACTTCCAATTTCAAATAATTTCTTTGCCTTAACAAAGCAGGCTAAGTGTCATACTCTAATAAATATAAAGAGGAGACGAAATTAGTAAATTTTTAAGTATGAGCTAAACACTTGATTGGCGCGTCATAAAACCAAGAAGCCCCAGGGAGATTTCAATCTTGGCAATCATTATGAACAACTCAGATATTAGTGAGGAAAGCACCGATGCCTTGAATTACAAGAGGAATGAGAAGACCAGCGAAAAACTGAAATCAATGGAATGCTTTGAGGATGATTACAAACCGATCGTAACGAAGAGCTCACCAGAACTAAGCTTTCTCAAATCGAAAGGAAGCCCTGAATCTGAAGAGGATAACCAACCGAAGTCGGAGACGGATAACGATTACACCAATTTCCTGAAACAGATGAATGTTCGTTAGTGAGTTTTAGTATTTTTTATATAATTTCTAAAGTTTACTTGATCTGTGACCATCCAAGTTCACAATATCGCTTAAAGTCGGGTGAAGATAACGACAAGGAAGGACAAACGATGAATTATACCAATTACAATTGTAGTGAATGTAAGCCAAAGTTGTAGAATATTTAATACAAATATTTAAACCTACTAAAAATAGGTTCCGGTTGCGAAGGACCCTCATGTAGCTGGCAAGGCGCTTGCAGAAATGGACAGGATTGCACTTCTGGAGCTCAGATGGATTCCACACCTTATATGGAGCAAGAAATGCCTGACAATGGACACTATTACAACTGTGGAAAATCCCTATCAAACTTACAATCCGTATCGGATGAGACAATTGTGAATGGACCCAGGGTTTCGGCTTCGGATGCCTCGGAAAGTCCTCCAAGTTCCTACAATGTATGCTGTCCCTTGAGACGACCTGGTCAGCAACCTGCTTGTTATTCGTGCCATCATGGATATCCTTGCCAGGAGCAGTTTATGCAAATGAACATGCCGCCGCCCATGGAAATAGATCCGAACACGGGGTTCCCCTATTTTCCTTGCTCGGCGCCCGTAAACTATCCCGGCATGGGAATGGGTCCCATGCCAGGTATGCAAATGGATCAAAGAGGACGCGGTGGTCAACAAAATGAGGAAATGAGTAGTTCATCGAGCTCTGGGTCACCAGCAGTCCAGTCCAGTTCTCAAGATGGAGGAGCAAATAATCAGAGCAACTTCAATATGGAGGAATTCATTCAAAAGTATCAGAAAAGTGTTCAACAATGTTATGCCACTGCCCAACAAGGTATTTAACAATCTGTCGTTAATCTCAGCAATCTTTTACTAATCCTTTTACCAATATCTTACTAATCTTTCAACAATCTTTCATTAATAATCACCAATCGGCTTAAAAATCGCTTAAAAACCTCTATAATATTCCACCACAATGTTTCAACAATTCTAAATGAATATTTCACCAATCCATTCACCAACAATAACTACAATTTAGGATTGCGTCAAAGCTTTGCACAGGCAAATGGTACACCATATTTTAACCAGCAAGGAAATCAACAATACTTTGCGAATTCCAATTCAGGTATTTTAAATCAATTAAACAAAGTTGCAAAAATATTCAATCGCTTCTCAACAAAATTTCAGGTGCTCAACAAATGTTTGCCTCCCAGAGTCAAGGTAAGTTCAAGTTGTAATAAATATAATCTTATTAATTTCTATGACAGCAGCTCCACAATTTTATGATCCCAATCAAGGTAATAAACACTATCTGTTATTTAAATTTCCTATTAATGTAATTTGATTTGTAGAAGCTTATCAAGGATTGCAAACTTTTAATTCATCTCTTGATCCTCAACAATTTTTTAATAGCCCTGGTAGCCTAGGTAAGCTATTAAATATTTTATTAAAATAAGTATTTAAATTAAATTTTACCTATAGGGTCTCAACAATTCTTAACCTCTCCAATGGCTATGCCTTCTCCGAATATCTTTGGCAACAACACTGGTTTCATCAGCGACACTTTGCACACACAGACCGTATATTCCTCCGATTACAAATCGTTCGCCAATGATGGAAATCATTTTAATCACTTCCCCAATGGCATAGACATTGGCTTGGGCCCCGATTCCTGTCCCAGCTATGGACCAGCTGCATCTCCTGGCCTGGCAGAGATGGGCGCCGGTGGTCAAGCCTATGGCATGGGCGGTGCCGGTGGAATGAACATGAGTTCCTATCCCCTTAATCACATGAGGTGAAATCAGCTTACTATGACATATATATTTCTATTTATTCATAGATCTATCTTTCAGTTATTCAAGTCCTTACACCTTCGACATGTCTTCCCCCACTTCAGGCCATCATCCTGGCCTAGGCATGGCTAATGGCGGAAATCTAAGTGAGTGGGGAATTGAGTATTTCTTTAATTGTGCTATATAATGATTTTAACTTTAAAGTGTAAGCTGAGTGGGAAAGCATCGAATCCTGACTCTGGAAATGGCTTTGAATAAATCTTAACTTGTTTATAGTTAGAAACTTAAATAAAATTTAACTAGTTTACTAACAATTTTCTATATCTCTATATATTTTGAGTGAAATTTCTCCAAGAATTTAATGAAAATAATTCCAGCAATTGTTATTTCCTAGAACTTCCCCTCATGGTAATGGTAATGACTCACAATAGACCGTTTTCCACCTGAACTTCGCATGGCATGCACTTTAAGTCAAAGCTAATTACAGTGAGCTAGTCTATTGATTTTAGCCGTAGAGTACACTAACCCGTGAAGGAACCCTCGCAGTAAACAAACAAACAGGCGGCGACATCAGTGACCCAGTTTTCTCTGCAAAAACTAAGGCGGAAAAACGGGGAAAGTGGAAAAACTGAAAGGGGCCAGGCAAACAACGCCCCCACCGGAGAATGTAAAAGGCTGTATGTGGAGCGAAAGTGAAACGCAATATGACCACAAAGGAAGTCAGGTTCTTGGCATGGCAAGGCAATATCCCATATATGTATCCATATCCACTTGGCCTGTCCAGGAAAAGAGCCAAATCAAATATCAAAGTGCCGACAAAGAAAGCTTTGGCCGGTTAATTGTTTGAAGTTAAAGACCAAGGAAAAACTGAAGTTGGCTTAAAGCCTCACGGATTGACATTTAATACCGACTGACTGTTCATTAATCTTATGATTCATTGCATTTGAATCTAAATATCTAAACTATTTCTATACCCCGAAGAAAAAAATATATATAACTTGTGTGTCAACACCCACAAAACCACAGGCGGTTGTCTAGGATCCACAAACAACACGCGAATGAAAGAATTTCCCAATGATTTATTTTTTTACGAGGCAACACCTTAAATTTTTGGTAGAAAAAATCAGTTGTGGAGTAACTCCTTCAGTCTCCGAATATGATTAATTGGTCCAAAAACGAAATGTTTGGTTTCTGAGCAGCGGTTGCGCTTCATTATCAGCGTTTTGGCCAGTGACCATCAGCGGCAGTCAATTACCGGTCGACAGTTTCGTTTCTGTTTTTCCGATTCTACCTACCAATCAGTCTCACATTTTGTCTACACTGGGGGAAATCATGAAGACCATAGTATAATAAATTTAAAAGTTACTATATAGTACTAAAAAAGTTACTTATTTTACATAATAAACCTGGGAATTAAAGGTATTAAATAAAGTCACTTAACTTATATAATAAACAAGGGAATTAAAGGGGATTCAGGCAATAAACACAATCATTTTATGGCTATTTAACATCTGTTAAATCATCCCAATTTTCTTAATTTTAATATAATTTTCCCAAATTTTTCTCTGTGTACCCCTCTATCCGCCGTTCGGGTGTTGTTGTCAATGTCCTGCTGCGCTATTATTTGTCTTGTGTGCGAGACTTTGACTGCGGTATAAATTGCTTTACGCCACTTTTGGGTCATTAACGAAATTGAAAATAGAGACGGACTTAAGGTGTGCTAGTAGGGGGAGATATGGGTATATGTATATATATCAGGGAACTGGAAAACGGAGACCACCGAGCTCCTATAAAATCAGTGCCACCTACTTTGGTAGTTGATCAACCATTAGACACCAACGGTGTCCAGACTGTAGGGAGTCTCAGGGAAATCTAAACTTCTCCCCGGGAGATGTGAAGCATATGCTGGGTTCACTTACGATTTATCAGTTCGAGAAAAAGGTAATGGATATTTGGCTTAAGTACACAAGAAAATGGTAGAAATATGCCCCGAGTATACTTACCTTTCAAGTTAATTCTTACTTGTATATTCATATTAACTAAAATGTTTAAATATAATATAAATATAAATATAAATTTATAAAAATCACCTATATATTCATTATGAATAAGAGGAAATCGGAATGCATTCAATAAAATAAATAAATAAATATTTCACTTACCGAATTTCTCATTTTGTTTTCATTCTTCTTCGTCTTTTTGTTAAATCGGGAGTATTATATAAAAGTCATTGTACTTCCCATTCTGAACACTCACGAGATTACATCTCTTTCCTTCCCTTCCATTTTTTTTAACTAGCAGAATTATTTATTAAATATGCACTTAAAAAAAAAACAAAAAACAAAAAAATACAAGAAAGGAAAATAACTTTGGTGAGCCCAACTATTGTATATACCCATGCGGTTTGCAAATAAATTAAAACAAGTTAAAATTATTCGCAATTAAAACAAAAATTTAATTTTTTCGACAAAAGCAAAATTTTAAAAACTCATAACTAAGCCAAAAAAGTATTAATTTTAATTCTGAAAACAGTCTAGTGTTAGTTTTTATTTAGTTAAAAAATCTGCATACTCAATTTAAAAATGATAAAAATTAAAATTTTTGTCACATTTTTGAATTATTTTTCACCTTAAAAAAATTATGAAAATTTTGAAATATATAAATAAACATGGCTAGATAGACTCGCCTTTCGACGCTGATCAAGAATATATATAATTTATAGGGTCCGAAATGACTCCTTTTAACTAAAATTATAATATCTTGCAAGGGTTACATTCAGGCCAGCCAAGAGATTAGCTCTTACTCCTTTCCTTTTTTAACACACTTTTTAAACACTGAAAACAAATAGTTTTACCTAATTCTGCGTTGAGAATAGCAAATGGAAAGAAATGGAAAGAAATGTAAGACACACGAACCGCGCTTCACTGACTTTCGGCACACAAATTTATTTTAGCACTGCAGTTCTATATATTCGATTATGAAAAACGCGGACTTTACACACTTTATATTTTAAACACTTAGCAAACTGTAAATTTACCGCAAGAAAACATTTCTTTTTCTTCGTTTTCGTTAGAGCGGTTCTTTGCCATGCACGCACACCCACAATATGCAGTGACTCAAGCAACACATACGTACATACATGGCGGGGGCTGCTGCTGCTGCTGCTGCTGCTGCCGTCGGCGGGAGTCTCATCTGTTCTTGTTGTTGTTTTAGTGGCCTTAACTTTATATTCACTAGATAATTGTTATGAAAATGTGTTAATGTGTTATCAAGTACATAGTTTTGTAGTTATTTAGTGACTTTACCTTGTCATTTGCACAATATTTGAGTTTTTCTTATTCTCTTTCCCCTTTTCACGGGTCCAATTGGAGGGAAAAAACTGCGTTGGCTTCACATTTACATTAAATCGTTAATATTTCACTTGTTTTGGTTTTTTTTATGTGTCCCCAAGTTAAATGCAGTTAGTTGAACTGATTTAATCCTTTTGTTGGTTTTATTAAACGTTTTTTGTGGACTAAAACGTATTTTAGCAGCAGCACGCAAAATTTTCCATTGGCAATTTTGATCTTCTCCTTCTCCTCTTTTTCTCCCCACGCTCTTCACCACTGAGAATCATCCCACACTTGCATATGGTGTTTAGATTTGGACAACAACCAAATGTCATTTTTGGTGAAATTGACGCATCGGTGGTTGCTGCCGCTGCTGCAGCTTAATTGTTTTTTTTTTTGCAGTTTTAAAAATAACTTGTCAATTATTTTGATTATAACGTTGCTTTTAATTCAGTTTTTAGGCGAGACACCCGTTCACTTCGGCACTTGCTTAACTACATTTACTGACGTCACAACTCCAATTGAAAAGAGGCACAACACATACACACATACATATGGTTTGTTTACTTTTATGTTGCCAAATGCATGTTATCATTTTTTAATTGATTGTTCCCACATAAAACGCACTTAGTTTTGTTGTATTAACAAATCTGTTGGTATTATTACGAGCTTTTTCGGGCGATAAATGTACTTTTAAGCAGCAGCTTCACTTAATTTGAATTTTACCGTCTTTGTTTTTCTTCTCTTTCACGCCGCTTTTCACCATTGTAAGCCGTTTAACATGGCAATGAGTGCTTTCAAGAGCGCGAGAGTGAGGTGGAAAGGGCGAGCTTAGAGAAGGAGAAGAAGAAATGAGAGATCATTGCCAAATAGTGAAATTGCCGTGTGCTGCTGCTGCTGCTGAAAAACGTTTTTAATGTGAAATAAATGTTCAATAATACAAACAAATCGAGTAAATCAGTTCAACTAACTGCATTTAACTTGGGGACACATAAAAAAACCCAAAGCAAGTGAAATATTAACGTATTTATGTTATTCTGAAGCGAGCGCCGTTTTTCCCTCCAATTCGGAGTGTAAAAGCGGGAAAAGAAAAAAGAAAAACTCACAAATTGCGCAAATAGCGAAGTAAACTCACTAAATACCTACAAAACTATGTATTTGAAAACAAATAAAGACAGTTTAATAACAATTATCAAGTGAATATACAATTTAAGCCACTAAAACAACAAGAACAGATGAGACTCCCGCCGACGGCAGCAGCAGCAGCAGCAGCAGCAGCCCCCGCCATGTATGTATGTATGTGTGTATTGAGTCACTGCATACTGTGGGTGTGCGTGCATGGCAAAGAACCGCTCAAACGAAAACGAAGAAAAATAAATGTTTTCTTGCGGTAAGTGTACAGTTTGAAGTGCGCGAATTAATTAAGCGAATATAAAAGTAGAAGTTAGCCTAGGTCAGTAATGTTCGGTTCGCGTTGATTTAAAAAAAAAATTCAAAGGAGGGAAAGAAATGTAAATATCGTTATTCGTTAGAATAGGAAGTGTTCCAATCTAACAAATAAAAGACGATGACGAAAATGAAAAATTCGGTAAGTGATATATTAATTTATTTATTATATTGAATGTATTCCGATTTTTTCTTATTTATAATACAAAATTGTGTCTGGATGTTGCGGGATTTAGTGGTTTTTATAGTTTTTCTCCAGGTAATGTATATTATTTATAGTATTTTAACAAATTAAATATAAAATATTGGAATAATAGATCAAAAATTTCAACATCATGAGAAAAGTAAGCAAGAAAATAAGTTAAATTTAAGTACCCGACTTTTATATACCCTTGCAGAGAAAATCGGTCATAACTCAGTCAAAAATACATTAATTCCCAATCGGAAAGCTGTTCTCTGCTAGTTTTGAATAGGTTAATAAATCTGCATGCCTAAAATAAGATTTTAAAATATTACAATTTTTGTCAATTTTCAAAATGTCAACAAGGTCAAAATGTGCCTTAAAAAAATTAAAAAAAATTTCAAAAATTATTTTATTTTTTACAATGCTTAAAAGATTCGCCTTTTGATGCTGATCAAGAATATATATGAAATATAGGGTCGGAAATGATTCCTTCACTACATTTCATGCTTCTGACTGAAATTTAAATACCCTGCAAGGGTATAAAAAGAGATACATACATATATGTTAAGAACTGGTTTGCAAACTTATCCGCGAACATAAAAATGTAAATAGAAAAGCTTTCACAATTATGGCTTATTTATAATCGAGTTCCCTTGCCATGATAAATTTTCCCACTGATAGGTTACACAAAACTATAAAACTTTCTTGTTACCGAACAAAATTACCAACAAATGTTTGCCAGGAGTTTTTCTTGGCTGCAACTAACCCTTTTCCATCCCAACAACTCAATCGAAATGAGTCTTAAATATCATAAAAGAACATTATCATTATCCCCGCCATGAGAAGGGCTCACTTCTGTGCCCAGGGATAAATGTATAATAATTTAATCGAGGGCACGTCTTCAAGTAGGTACCTCTCGTCCTGTCCAGACAACAAGACAATAAAAAGAAGCGAAAAGGGATCACATTCCGAGAGGAGAAATCAAAGCGTAACAAATTCGCCAGGGGCAGGACTTTCACCCGGGGAGAAAAAAAAAGGAGAAAGGAGAGCAAAGGACACGGATTAAAGGGCACGCGACGAAGAGTCCTTTTGTTTGGATTGAAAGCCGATTAGGCCGAGGGACGCACAGAGGCATTTGCACTTCATTATTATGAGTTATGAGGGAACGACGGCTGGTCAAGCTGGTCCACCAAACTCACAATTATGTTGTATTATGTTTTGTATGTCACCCCGGGCAGTAAGTTATTATTATTAGTAGTTGCCTTGCCATGCAAATCGATTTGTTGTCTCTCCACATCGATATATATCTTTTGACATCCGAAGGGTGTGACCAATTTGGCATCGTTCAACCGGACACACGCGTCGCAATCAGATCAAAGGGAGATGGAGGGACGTAACATTTGCATAGGAAATGCTAGAAATCAATAAATGAGCTTGGACATAGGTCAATCGATTCCACTTAGTCAGATGTCCCATGGATGTCGAGTGGCTGCTTAGCCTGGGAACGAATCTGGAGAGCAATTTGCTTTGCCTTTCTGGGTTGGAAATAGGGAAAGGTCTTTTAGGTACAGATGTCAGTCAAACTCAATTAAGCTATATATTAGTAGGAAAGTTAGGAAATACAATGAAATAGTTGACTATTTCTACACCCTTTTTCAAAACAAAAATCTTAAAAACTCTCTTCTTTAAAGATTAAGGAGAATTATCTCATTTAAGTTTCCCTGCCTTTCTCAATCCCCATCTTTCTCACGGCTATCAGCTTACATTTTTAACACACTTCCACTACATAAATTCACCCGAAATTCGTCCTTCGAAAAATGGCAAAAGGATACAAGAACCCTTTTTTGCTAAGTGGCAAACATCAAGGGAATCCAGGCGGGGCGTTTCCAAATGACGACAAATTACACACACCAACTGGCGGCGTATTTACAGGAAATTTGCAAACAATATTGAATTCGAAGCGATCAAAATAAAAATTAATCAATGCACTTAAAACTTTAAAAAACAACACACACTCATATAAAGAAGCAAAACTCAATGATGTGGAAAAGGGATGGGAGGAAAACCCTTTTTTTTTGTTGTTTAAGCAACCCCCTTGGGTGACTTTAAAGTGCTTGGGAAGGGAACTCTCTTAACTAATTTATAACTTATGACTGCATGGCTATGGACAATTTTCCATGCCACTACAAAGGAGAGCAAAAAGCCAAAATTTGACATGAGTAGCGGTTGCATAACCCCTTCTTATAAAAAATACAACAAAATAAATGTAGCCCCTTCAGGCGGGACATGTGAGTGTGCACATGTCAGCAAGCGAATTAATCGAAGAGAAATGATTTATTTAACGCTCGGACAGACGGAACGGTGACCCCGGTAAAGAAAGGGTTACCAAAGATCCCAATCCCAAAGTCAACCCTCAAATGGACCTTCATTCGCACCCAAATCAAATTTAAACTGTTTTCAAAACTGCACCTCTCCATTGATGGGCATTTATTGGTTCCAGGGGTTGGTCTTGCATTTTGGGATTTTTATTATATATATTTTTTTCGCACAATATCAACTGCACTTTTTTAACCGTAAATTCACACTGCAATTTCAACTAATTTTCATTCAGGATTTATTTATTACATTTTTGTTGTGAGCTGCGTCTTTCAAAATATTTATTACCCTGCGTTTTTTATGGCATTTCTCATGGGTTTTGATTGATTCGAGTGTGTATTTGAGGATTATTGCTTGCAATTTGCTACGAATTTTTAGCAATTAATAAACAAAATAAAAAGGGAAATAAATGAAAGACATAAAACGTATGTTTCTCAAGTCGGTTACTTGTGGGAATTCTTTCAAAAAGGGCGGAAAGCAGGCAGAAATATCCTTGTTTTATTACAAATAATTTTATGGGTATCACGTAAAAGAATACAGGAAGTATCTGACTTCAAATAGGTTTATAAGTTTAGTTTTCTGAGGGTAAAAAATGTGGAAAAGTATATATTAAATTTCTCCCCTAAAAAGTTCGTTATCAAACGGACTCCCTTTTTGATAGTTGTCTCAAGTTTCTGTTCCTTTGACAGAATCAAAAATCGAATATCAAATTTTGGAGTATCAGAGAGTTGGAAACATGTCTTACCAAAAGTTGGACAAAAAGGCTCTACAGAGTATCAAAGATGTGGCCCATAAGCTGCGTATTCACTCAATAACCTCCACTCAGGCGGCCAAATCTGGCCATCCTACTTCCTGTGCATCTCTGGCGGAGATCATGGCAGTTCTATTCTTCCAGCAAATGCGTCTCAATCTAAAGCATCCTCGAGATCCCTCCAGTGATCGACTGGTGTTATCCAAGGGACATGCTGCACCCATTCTCTACGCAGCCTGGGCAGAGGCGGGTCTTTTTCCAGTAGAAGAGCTGCGAAATCTACGCAAGGTGGACAGCGACCTGGAGGGGCATCCCACACCGCGTTTAAACTTTATTGATGTGGGCACTGGCTCCCTGGGACAGGGCATTGCCGTAGCCGCCGGTATGGCATACGTGGGTAAATATCTGGACAGGGCTGAATATCGTACGTATGTGATCCTGGGGGATGGCGAATCCACCGAGGGAGCCGTCTGGGAATCCCTACACTTTGCTGCCCACTACAAGTTGGACAACTTGTGTGTTATCTTCGATGTGAACAAGATGTGTCCGGTGGACATGTCCGCTGAAATGGAGGTTTATCGGGAGAGATTGGATGCCTTTGGTTTCAATGCCTTAATAGTGGATGGCCATGATATTGATCAGCTGACCAAGGCCTTTTACAATGCTGCCAGCACAAAGGATAAACCCACTGCCATAATGGCCAGAACTACCAAGGGCAAGGACTTTCTTTCCGTCGAGGGATCCGAGGAGTTGCATGGACAACCGCTGGGCAAGAAGGCGGAGCCAGCCATCCAGCATTTGCAGGTCAGTTTAAACATATTTATTATTTAATTACATTTTATTAACTTATTTACTATTATTCGACAGTTTCTGATCTCCAATCCCAATGTGCGTTTAACACCCAAGAGAGTGAGCAAGTGTGGCCGAGCTCCCGAGGTTAACATCAGCAATATAATGCTTTGTGTTCCGCCCAATTACCGCCTTGGGGACTCGGTGGCCACCCGGCTGGCCTATGGCACAGCTCTGGCCAAGATTGCAGCAGATAATCCCAGAGTAATTGTCCTCGATGCTGACACGAAGAATTCTACGTATGCGGATAAGATGAGGGATGCCTTTCCAGCGCGTTTCATCGAGTGCTATATAGCCCAACAGAATCTGGTGGGTGTGGCGGTAGGTGCCACCTGTCGACGTCGCACTGTGGCCTTTGTCTCCACGCATGCAACCTTCTTTACGCGAGCCTATGACCAGATCCGCATGGGTGCCATTTCGAACACCAATGTAAACTTTGCGGGCTCCCATTGCGGCTGCAGCATTGGCGAGGATGGACCGTCACATATGGGACTGGAGGATATAGCCCTGTTTCGCAGCATCCCAGGCAGCACGGTCTTCTATCCCACGGATGCTGTGAGTGCAGAGCGTGCCGTAGAGCTGGCCGCCAATACAAAGGGCGTGTGCTTCATCCGCACAACCTATCCAAGCACCAGAGTTATCTACAACAACGATGAAGTGTTTGTTGTGGGGCAGGCCAAGATTGTGCGCCAGAAACCCTCGGATGAGGTGCTCCTGATCGGAGCTGGCGTTACCCTCTATGAATGTCTGGCTGCCGCCGAAAGGCTGGAGGAAGACTGCATCACAGCCCGTGTAATTGATCCTTTTACTGTAAAGCCTCTGGATACGCGTCTCATTGTAAAGCACGGAAGGCTCTGTCATGGCAGGATCGTTGTAGTCGAGGATCACTACCAGCAGGGCGGCCTGGGTGAGGCTGTGCTCAGTGCCTTGGCCGATCAGCGGAACTTTGTGGTTAAGCATTTGTATGTGCGTACTGTACCACGATCGGGTCCACCCGCCGTACTCCTTGACATGTTTGGCATATCCGCCAGGATTATCTACAAGGCTTCCATTTGCATTTTGAAGAAGTGAGGAAGGAATAGAGTCTTTTGACCTGTGACAAAAATTTTAGTTTATTGTATAGGCCAATTTTTAGAAACTGACAAAATTTTAACTGAGAACAATGCAAGTTTTCTTCGAAAATACTAAATTCATAATGAATACCCAGTTTTGTATGAAACATCAAGGGAGAACCTGTGAATTAAATGTAGTATTTTAGAAGGAATCTGTAAATTCAAAAGCGTAGAGCCTTTTTTAACATCTCTGTTAGGAAAACCTATTTCTTAAATCCTTTTGTAACTTGATTAACCCCTTTTTAAGGGTGACCTGCCCTGTTCCATTGACCTTAGCTTCGTTTTGCTGCATTACCTCTTTGCTCTACCTGAACTAATAGCCGTGCAACGTGAAATGCTCTTCATGCCACCAAAGTTCATTGAAAAAATATTGCATTTGGCGAAACTCAATTGGTTGGAACTAATTTTTGGGATTTTACAGGCTGACATGATCATTGACTGCGTTGGCGTTGGGTTCGGTATCGATTTTGAACGAATTGCCTTCGTCCCCCCTGTTTTTGTGGTGATAAATTTCTATATTGTGGTGTTTACGACTTCCTTTTCCCTGGGTTTAAGGATTTTAAAATCTTTTATTTCGTGATTTCGAGAGGGTATATTGTTTGGGAATTCAGGTTGCCAGGTTCTTTTATTTAAAACACAATATAAAATTGAATATTATAAAGATTAGGTGAATTAACAAAATCACTAAATATCTCTAGCACTTTCTACTTTCTTTAATTATTTTGTTAGTCAAAACAATTATAGATAAGTATATTTTATTCACATATCAATAAAACAGTAAGGTGTAAATTATTTTAAAATTGTTAGCTTAGAAAAAATACTATAAAATTGTAAAAAATGGTAAAGAAATAGGTATCTTCTAGTCGAATCCCTGTACTTTTCCTCATTATCTATTCTTCGCCTGACCAAAGGCTATTTAAAAATGATCCCTAATGACATCCGCTGTGGCATTCATCCATTTAGTCATCTGCCTCTGTGGCAGCCGAGGTCCATTTATTGTTTTTCTGCTTCCTAATCAGTACATTATATTGTTTGTTTGCTCTCGGGCCAAAAGGACAAGGGGGACAGCAGGACAACAGGATCTGAGGGCAACCGACAGGATGTGAGTGAGTGAGAATGTGCGGTTAAGGGTTGGCCCAAGTGGCCCAAGTATCCCTTCCGATTCGATCAAAATTTACGATAAATGCTTTAAAAATTCTATACACCTCAAATGTACAATAGATATAGCGTAGAAGTTTTTCACTTTACGTTAAGTGAGCATGGCTAACTAGATTGGTTAGAGATCATAAATTTAAAAGAATAAAAATAGATTAGATGACATCATATGTGGAGGAGAGTCCTTTTGTTCCTGCCAAACACACATGTGAAGGAGTTGGACATATGATATGGGGGTAGATTTATGAAGGGAACCAATGCACCTGCTTAGAGATCTGAAAATATATACATATATCATTTAATGAGGAAAATCTGTGCCGATGAAATTTGTAAGCAATTATTTGCGGCGAAAAAGAGACCAAAAAACAATCATCAATCTCTGTCTGTTGCTGTTAAAAGCACATGCATTTAAATTAGACATTTAAGCCAGTCTCCCCCGCTGGAAAATCCACTCCCCCAAAAATATAAATTGAAACAAGGTCAAGTTATGCATAATTATGCGAATGGATGATACCTAGTGATTATTATTTGTAAAGATATTTGTTTACTTTATTTTATTTCCTTTAATGCTACAGAAACATCAGAATTCCCTATTGAAATTTGTCTTCTATAAATATATATATCAAATTAAACAGAGTGTACACCCTATATACCTTTAAAATTCTATAAAAAATAAAGGGTACCCCAGAGAAGTGTCAAAAGCAAAAGCCGAACCAGGAGCTGTGCCCGGAAAATGCTTAATAGGATTTTTACAATTTTTACTATTTTCCTGCGGCAGCTACTGGTAACCAGTCAACTCTCAACCCTTTCTCCTGCTTTCTCCTCTGATTTTTTTTTGTAATTCTCCAAATATTTCGCCTTTTCAACGGATTTGTATAAAAAGGGGTTAGAAAAATGCCAGTAGAGCTCAGAGCACCCCTGTGTGTCGCAATGGAAATTCTTTTACACTTTTGTTTTCCCTTTTCCTTGGCTGTTGTTACAAACACACACACACACAGGATATGGTTATTTTCTTATTCCTGTTGTTAGGGTTTCATGCACCGCATAACATTAAAATTCAGATTTTGATTGATCATTCTGGTTGAAGCGATTTAAAGGAAAAGAGAGAGAGAGAGTGGGTTCTGTACAGGAAGGTATTGAAAGGACTTAGGGTGAAGGATGTGAGAGGAAGGACAATTTTAAAGGTCCAAAGTGGGATGTTTAAAGCTTGTCTAACAAGATTGTTAATTATTGGTTTAAAATGTATAAAATTCAGTATGAAAAACATTTTAAAATAACTTGAAATGGGTTTTAGAAGTCTGTAACTTTAGTTACTTCTTTATTTTATTCGAAAACCTTTCTCTGTCGTATTATAATTGAATTCTATATAAAGTTCTTATAACTCTTAGATAAATTTTAACCTGTTTTCATTATTTATTTATTTTTATATAAATAAATTAAACTAAAGAATTAAAAACCAGGACTTGCAGCTGCACTGCATTCATTTCTTCATTGCATTTGCATATATAAAATCCTCATGAATCTTTAAATACATTGCCATGGATGAACTTTAATTTCTCTTTGCCAAATAAGCAAGAGTCCTTTGAAAACATTTATGCAAATGTTGTCTTCTTGGAAGACACATATTTAGAGGGCGTCACGCTAGCCAAACTTTCCCAGGGAAATTTACAAACAATCCAACAAAGTCCTGCCACTTTCTATATCCTTTTTTTGGCTTTCACACACAACGGACTGTGGAAACGGGGAAATCACTTAAATATGCATGAGGCACAGGCAGTCAACGAAAATTCGATTAACAACAAATGCATATTGATGGAATAATTGAGCAATTCTAATGAACCACAACAAACACCAGAAAGACGGCGACAATAAAAAAGCAAAACAAATTGCAATTGCCAATGGATCGGCGGAGTTTTTTATTCCAAGGAACCACAATATTTGCATTTGATTGACAACAAAGTTAATTGAGTGTGAGCTAAGAATTTGCATAGGGCCGAGGGAAAAAATAAACATTTATTAGATTTAACTATGATTTTTTTCTATTTGTAGAATCCCTTTCCAGGGGGGTAGAGTCATTAATTCGCCTGACAGCCAGGCCCAAGGCCCAAGGTGAGGTGACTGATGATGGGGTGTTGAGGTGAGAGATCTCTCGGGCCTAAATGTCATTTCAATGAATTTATAATTGGGAATTATGTGAGTTGTTTTTTATTCTATACGGGATTTACTTTTGCCTAGAAAATTTACATATTTTTTCCACCAATCCCTGGTGTGTGTGTGCTTTAATTAATGATTTTATGCCAAGTTTTCTCAAAGTCTTTTTGATATTTTGCATACATGTGTTGCCGATCCATTAATCAGGTCGTCTAAGTAGCTGCTTGAACTCATTAACCCTTTTGTTCAGTTCAACCCGTCAAGTTTTGTCTTATATAAATATTTGCATTGCCATGAGAACAGGAGTTTCTTTTACTTTTTACTTGCAACGCAATAAATGAATACAATTGGGTGAAAAGAAACAGATATCCTTATTAATGATCTTCTTGGTGTCACACACACAGGATTCACAGCCTCTTTTTTTTCCGCCGTTTTAATTAGTAGAAACCTGACTGGGAACCACCCTGCCGTGACTTTTCCTTTTTTTCCTTGGTAAAAATAAATAAAACCCCCAAACCCGCTGTGAGATCATATATCAAATATTTGCTACTTTTGCCTCCTATCAAGATGCCCATTAAGTCAATAAGTGGGCCTCTAATATTATGCCATATTTTGGGAATTGCTAAAAAGAAAATAGAAAATCGAAACGATGAGGAAAAACAAAGCTTGTGCGAAAAGTGCTGCGGTGGAAAAACTGCCAGCGATAAACACGAATAAAACATTTTAGGTACATTATTATGTCAGGCCTAAGAATTATTGTCACAGATTGTTTTCCCCAGATAAAATCCTGAATTATGGGGGCAAACGCAGCGGGCAATAAAAAACACTATGGTGAGTTAGAAAATGTAAAGGAAATAACTTATTTAGAGGGGTTGCAGATTATTGCAAAATATAAGAAAACATTTTGCCAGAGTCACGTAAAAAACCAAACTTTACATATTTCAATCAGTTTTTATTTTTATTGTTCAAAGATAAAGCACATTATTGTTATGTTAGAAGAGGGTTTAAATTGCTTTCTCCTCACCAAGTTTAGCTACTCATTTCTCACTCTTTAACAACTCATAATTAAAACAAATAAATATGTTACAATAAAAAAAGATAAAGAATATAATAATTTATGCGGGTAGATAAACATTTGACTCAGGCTTAACCCCATCAAGCCGCAAATTAGAACTCAGAGCGCAAAGTCACGCAAAAAAAAAGAGAAAAATACAAATTAACGTTGGGATAAATCATATAATTAATTGTTTCGTAATTCGGTTGTGTGTCCAAACATCATTAATATCTATAAGATTTTGACGAGAGAGATCTTGTTGGCATTAAGCCACCACTTTGACTTCTGGGACCCGCATAAAACCTTCAGGGCTTTTGGGTTTCAATTAAACGCGGATTAAAATACAGAAAACCCAAGTTCACGGCGACTTTCGCACTTTGTCGTCGTCTACCCGACAAATTGGTATAGAAAAGAATATATATATAATGTATAGGATAATGGCATGCATGATTCATTAATAAAAATCATAATAAAGGCGTGGCGAATGATGTCACGTTTTTGTGATTAGCTCCGTTGAAGAAGCCAAAGGATTGTTGTGGGTTCGTAATTAGTTTTTTCTCTCCCATCTAATGCATTTTGATGATGTGACAGACGGACGTCTTACGCTCCACTGGGTTTTCTGGATACAAAGGAAAACCGAAGGAAGTGTGGCAAATTTGATTAATTGCTGAGTATCGGGATAGTCGGGGGTGATTATTAATATATTTTGGACAATTTGTCAGAGAGGAAA